ATATTCTTACTTCACGGCATGGCTAAACGGCCGTTTTTATGGCGACGAGAAGGATGTTTGAGCTGACTTTATTCACCATCCATGCATCGATCGATCGATATCTTTCGTATCTCCATCATCCCGGCCGCAATATCCCTGGCTACTGTTGCACCGCTATCTGAGCACTGCTACTTGCCTGGACAAAATTAATCCTGCCTGTGTTTCTACCACTCACTCATCATCCTCATCCTAGTTTCTCGCCGATTAAGACGTACTCGTTTCATTCTCTAATACTATAAAATCACATATTTCTATGATTCAAGTTTATACCACGCAATATGAGTATTTCCATGAATGATTCTAATGCAGAGAAATCCAATCATTTTCAGCCAATCAGATGTGTAACATAGAAATCCAAGAAATTTAAAATCTAACCAATAAAATAGCCGAAAGAAAATATTTTCTATTAACTTTATATTGTTTAATTAACAAAAAAAAATGCTTGTATTTAGAGGTGGAGAGAGTACCTATATCCTGTGCAGCTGTGCTAAGTACATGTGATCATGCAGGGGCGGAACTAAAACAAAATGAAGGGGTTTCACTCGCTTGCTTTACTCTGATTTAAATTAAATTTAGCTTGATACGGGTGCCTATAAATTTAAACTGACAGGATATATATGGTGAAAATAGATAAACTATAGGTAAAAAAATTTTTGAACCGGGTTCTTGGGCACCTCCTAGCTATATTAGCTCCACCCCTATGGTCATGGATTTTATTTTAATAAAAAAATTGAGTGCAATTTTCAGTACCTGCACGGCTAGTCGGCTACACGGACTGATCGATGGATGCTAAAGTTGCCAGTCTTGGAGAGGAGGAGGAGGAGGAGCAGTAAATGAAGAAACATGACATGTCGGCCGAGCCAGCTGGGCCTCATGGCCCATGGGCGACTAGGATACACGTTCCACTGTACGCGTGGGCCCCATCCCTTGCCACATTGGCTGGCTGGCCATTGCATTTTTCATGAACTTTCTTACTGTATTTCTTTTTCTTTCTTTTTTCCAGTTCTTCTTCTTTTCTTTTGTCCACGGGTGTACTATATGCAAACTCAAACTGCTTCGTTAACCTTTTTAATCTGTGCAATCACGAGCTGTAACTTTCATAGCATTCTTTGATTTTTTTTTTCCTTCTTCTTTTCCAATGTTTCTTTCCTTTTGAAGTCATCTCATCCCCGTTTTTGTAATTAAAATGCTTTCAACCTTTACAGACAAACTGACATTTTTTTGGAGTAAAAGAAAAAGAAAAGGAGAGGGCATGATGAATTAGCACAGTAAACATGTACGAGCCGTAATTAAACTGCACCTGCACGACATTAGCACAGTGACATGGCACTAGTTAGTGCGATTTGTCTTCGTCTGTTCATCAGCTGGTGATGATATCAGTTCCAAATGGGGGAACCCTTGAATCAATGCAAAAACATGCATGTTTGGAATAAATTTTGCATGCATGGGACCTCATGGTGTGTACTGCATACAGTGTCTCCCATCCAGCAAATTATGGGTTGGGGGAGAAAAAATGGGTTGTCATGCATGTAAACAATATGGCATGGACATTTCCATGCATGGTGTCATTATCAAATAGCAAGAAAAACCAAATGCAAAGCATATGGTGTGCATTAATATGATGGCTTTGTGGACTTTCCATTGTGATAACTTTAAGTAAATTTGTATTCTTGAGTCTTGACACCTCTCACTACAAGTTCAACCATAAAACCTTGATTCCAAATTTCCAATTCCTAATTTGTTTACATAGACTTCTACAATTATATTGTATACCATTTGAGCCATATGGTAGGCTCTAACAATTACTCCATATCAATTTTATATTCCCCTTCTTTGTTTCTTTCTTTCTTTCTTTCTTTCAATATACTTGAGTTTACCATCAATGGTTGACTCTAACAATTACTCCATATAAATTGTGTATGAACGCTGCATACAATACACTTAAAAGTCCATATTAATGGAAGAGTCGACTCTTTCCTCTTCTCACGCCTCTCTCTCTCCCCTCCATGTCTACATGGCAACATTATGGGTCAGCTCGTTTTACATTACGAATTAATCGTGTGCCCATCAACGTAGGTTGGAAAAAATTTATTATTAAAAAGTTTGTTTTGTATATGCGCGCGCCCTAAACTCACGAAAATGATAAGGAAAATTGTAATACATAACAATCTCTCATATCAACTGTAACTTTTTTTTTCTTAATTTAGGGGAATAGTTTCAACTCCAGGGCAAATGGGGTCATGTGGATTGAATGGACTCTGCCAATACTTTTAGAGCATTCAAAGCCATGGATGCAAAAGCTCTCCCTGCTTGCCTGGCTACCTCAGGCCCCAGAGACCCTTTGAAACAACAAGAGAAGTAAAAGAACTAGGGCCATACAACAGATGCAAGGCTTGCAACATGTCCATCCATTTGGCAATTTGGGTACAAATAAGCTAGCATGAATGGTAGCCTCCTTTTGGGTCCTTTTCGCCATTTTTTACAGCTTGGAAACGATGTGCAATGCATGCATTGCAGGGGCAAAGCAGTAGCATGATTGACTTGGTCGATCGATCGATGGATCATGGATGCGTTGGGTTGGCCAAAGGTTGGCGATCAAGACGATCCAACGCTTTGTCTCTGTTAAGAGTCAAGGAACTCACATGTCCTGTATTTAAGGTGTGACAAAGCTAGCTAGCTGCTGTGTTTTTTCAAAAAGGAATAATAATGATGATGGTGAATTAGCATGATTATATCTGCTTATACTGGTAATGCTTGTGCTACTTGTCGTATGATGGTTCAGTCATTTGGGCTAAGATTGTGCAATTGAGTAGTAGTAGACGGGCAAGTCGTAGCTAATAATGAGAGTCACAATCATCAGGCAATGAAGCCCCAAATGACAGGTCTCCTGCATTTGAGGCAAAGTATAATAACATAGGATACTATTTCAGGCAAGGGAAAAGGGCTTATCCCTTTCTTTTACGGTATAAGTGCACATATTTTTTTCTCTAAATCGCTTCTTATAGTAAATTTTATTTAATAAACATGCTCATGGTTTATTTGTATTTTGTACTCCATCCGTATAAAAATATATGACATATTTGTTTTGTTAGGATAATGTTTTGACTAACCATCGTACTTTATTAGGATACAGTTTTTTTTACACAAAGTTGAATATACTAATTAGAGCCATATTTGAAAGTATTTACTTATAAATATGTTTTTACATACATAATAGAGGAGCCGTTGGTCAAAGCGTTACTTAAAAAAATATGCCTTATATTGTAAAAACGAGTATTTAAATTCTTTGAGAACGTCTCTCTTAGCGATGTAACAAGATACTAGCATATATACTTGGACTCTTCGAGACAGTACTACTAGCGATGTTACATGGTAGCAATACCACTGCGCCACCAGCTCACCACCGGCCATGGCATGGCAACAAAATACCACCATACACCATTGCCAACGGCATGGCAAGAGCGTTTTGTGCCACGCCACAGGAGGTGTAGGTTTATATAAAAAAATATTCTATTAGCTGGTTTATTTTGGATTTGTAATAATAATTATCCCTAAAGACACAAAGATTAGAAAATGATCTAATATCAAATAAACAGAAGGGGTGAGGTTTCGAACCCAGATCAGCTAGCCCACCACTTTGTGGAGCTAGCCGGAAAACCCCTGTACGTTTCTCATAATAAGTAACCCTGATTCCATGAACGACCAACCCCCTTCCAAATCCTAAAAAAAATGTTTGTACTACCTCTACAAAAAGTATTTTCATGAACTTTAACTATACCATTTTGTATATATATCTAAACAATGGTAAGTTACATAAAAATCACTGTAATGTACTTTGTTTATCCTCTTTTATGAAAAGGGGAGGTTGAAGGGGAAGCACCGGTTGTGTATTGCTCTACCCACCGGGGTTCAGATTTTGATGTCCATGAATATTACGCATGTGCAGGTGGGCTTTCAACAAGACTTTAATGAGATTAGGGAAGCGCCGCTGGTTTTCATCTCTTAGAGCATGCATTAGAGGACGTGCATGTGTGTGTGCGCGCCTTGTAATCTAAAAATGAAGTTTGAAAAAGGCCCATCATGTTAGCTCTGGAGGCTTAGGAATTTCCAACTTAACTAAGACTGAGTTTAGTTTTAAAGTTTTTCTTCAAACTTCCAACTTTTTCATCAGATCTAAACTTTTCTACGTACACAAACTTTTAACTTTTCCGTCACATCATTCTAATTTCAATCAAACTTCTAATTTTGGCGTAAACTAAACACACCCTAATGGAAATGAAAAAGATATGTACCGTTATATCATTGTGCATATGTTTGTATTAACGGTGTAAATTGATCGGTGTAGTTGTCTGCAAAATAGAATTAATTCTGTGAAAATAGATGCTAACAATTATATATCAAATCCAACTATACTTTTACCATCTGTTGGACTGAAAAGCTATTTTATCTTAAAAACATAAGATGAGAGTTGCACGTCAAAATCTATTTTTTAAAAAGTACATATATATAACTCCGTAAAAAATTGGGCAGGAAAATCTGCTTTTTTTTTCATATAGCAGGAGGCAACATATAGCCCCTTTTTTTTCATAGCAGTGCACACTTTTAATAGCTTCACTACCTTGCAAATTGTAACTGTAGCTGATGTTGGACAAACAACTTTATTTTCCAACAGAAAGGGAAATAAATGCGGAAATACGCTAGTAGTACTAGCTGCTAAACAAATGGCAAACCTGGCGTTTGCAGTATTTCCCATGTGAACCGCGGGTATATTTTTAATTTTTATACAAGCAGATGCTCACGTAACTTGTTCATCCATGATCCATCACGAGCTATAAATTTCTTTTAATTAATGTTATTTTTCTCAGGCAGATCTAGTGCTAGATGTGCAAACGCAAGTGACGAAAGTTAACTCCATAATTTTTTTTGGTTCCTTTTTTCCGATGCCAATTCCTGGCAGGGTATTTATACTCCACATTTGAGTATTTTATTCACAGGCAAATTATTACATTAACCTCTTCTTTTTACTACAAATTTTTAGACAAACAGATATATATGTACTCCCACCTTTTGAGTATTTGACAAACACCTAAAAAGGAAAATTAAAAATTTGACAAAGCCCACTGATTAAATTATCTACTGACTAGAGTTAGTGATACAGCAGTATATGACATACTCACGTTATTCTCTCTCACACTCGCTGCATCTTGCAAACGTGTGGAGATCTACTTAATTAGTAAACCTTGTTACTAGTGATTTGATTAATCCAAGCTAAAAACCAAAATTACCATGACCATATTCAGTCGCAGTAACAACAATTAACAGTAGAGCAACGCCTCTAATCCCCTTCTTTTTTTTTCCTAAGCGAAAACTACGCAGATCCCAAGTGATTAATCAAGAGAGAAATCAAGATCAAGAGGACTTCAGGATCTGTGTAGTTTTCGATTTTTCTTTTTTCAGGTTGGGCTAGTGATGAACTCGCTGCTCACTCTCGCTTACGCTACGATTCTTGCATGGTTTGGTGGTGGTGTGGATTAGAAGGTGTAATCCATGGCCGCGTCGAGCAAGCTGCCACTCTCGATGCCGTCGGCGTCGGCGAACAGCCACGACTCGATGGCGGAGAGCTGCGTCTCGTCGCCGGCGTCGGCGGCGGCGGCGGCGGTGACGGTCGGCTTTGTCTCGTACTCGAAGGCGGACGCGGGCGCCGCCGCTGCGGACAAGGCCGTGCCGCCGTAGGACACCTCGGAGGCTTCCGACGAGCCGGACGCGCTCTCGGTGGCGCCGGGGGTGGCCGGCCCGCTGCCGGCGGCGCGCCTGCCGCCGCCGCCGCCCTTCTTCCGGGCCCACCCGTCGAGCATCCGGGAGATGTTCTCGGTGGTGAGGACGTAGCCGGCGGATGACGGGGAGCACTGCGACGCCCCCGACGTGCTCGACGCGGCGGGGCTATCGGCGCCGGCGGACGCTGCTGCTCCGGTGGTGGCGCCGCCTCCCCCCGCGGCGGCGTTGGCGGCGTCGGGCTGATGCGGTGGCTTGACGTCGTCGAGCGACGTGAGCGCCTCGCGGAGCGCGCGGCGCGCCATGTCGATGTCGGTCTGCAGGCGCCGCTCCCACTGCCCCTTGGACGACGACGCGGGCCTCTGCGCGGCGGGCTTCGGGGAGACCGCGTCGCCGGCGGCGCCACCGTCTCCGTCACCGCCGGCGCCGCCGCCCTGCAGCTTGCGCTTGAGGTGGGTGTTCCAGTAGTTCTTGATGTCGTTGTCCGTGCGCTCGGGGAGGTACGACGCGATGGCCGCCCAGCGGTTGCCGAGGAGCGCCTGGAGGTGGACGATGAGCTTCTCCTCCTGGTCGGTGAAGTTTCCCCGCTTGATCCCGGGCCTCAGGTAGTTGGTCCACCGGAGCCTACAGCTCTTGCTGCACCGCATCAGCCCTGCAAGCAACCATTTCGACAAACACCTCGCACGCGTCAGAATCAAGAAGAAGAAGAAGCCATCCTAGCTCAGGCGGTACAAGTGATCGTCACCTGTTCTGGTCGGGACGGCGCGCCAGTTGCCGGGGCCGTGCTCCTGGACGTAGGAGACGAGGACGAGGTCCTCCTCCGGCGTCCACGGGCCCTTCTTGACGCCGTCCTTGTCGCAGCACGGCGGCCTCACCATGGTCGATGGAGATCCAAGAACTGGAAAGCTGGATTTCTCAGATCGATGGATGGATGGATGAGTTTGATGTTGCAAGAGAGGAGGAGAGTTTGGTGGTGGAGAGTGAGAGGAAGACAAGGGTCCAAGGGGGAAGAGGGTGTAGGTGAGTTTATATACAGAGAGAGGGGGGGGGGCGAAGGAGATGCACAGTGGCGCTGACCTTATTATGTGTGCAGTCTTAAGCCTAATCTGCAAGGTTAAGAGAGAGAGGGGCATTGTATTGGCTTCCTTCCTGGAAGAGTCAAATAGGAGGAGAGGTGAGGTGAGGACGTGAGGTTGTGAGGCAGTGAAGAGAAAGAGAGTTGAGGGGTGCATTTACGGCGGGCTCGTGGCAAAGTCAGCCTGGTGGTGGGGCGCTACTACCAGTACAACACAACACTGCAAGGCTAGCTGGGGCGGTTTAGATGAGGCTAAAATTTTTTTTCTTCTCTGTTATATTACTTCCTCCTTTATAATATAAGGGATTTTGTCCTATAATATAAGGGATTTTGAGTTTTTATTTGTACTGTTTGACCACTCGTCTTATTCAAAAAAATTTTGGAATTTTTTTTGACTTACTTTATTATCTAAAGTACTTTAAGCACGACTTTTCAATTTTTATATTTGCACAAATTTTTTGAATAAGACGAGTGGTCAAACAATGCAAACAAAAACTCAAAATCCCTTATATTATGGGACGGAGGGATTAGATGTTTAGATGCTAATTTAGATTATTAAACATAGACTAATAAAAAAAAACTAATTTCATAAATAAGAGCTAATCTGCCAGACGAATTTTGTAAGCCTAATTAATCCATAATTATCAAAAGTTTACTATAACGTCACATTGTCAAATCATGGCGTAATTAGGCTTAAAAGATTCGTCTCGTAAATTAGTCCAAGATTATGTAATGGGTTATGTAATTAGTCTATATGACAGGGAATAAGCGCACGTCGGTGCATGGGAATTTTACAAAGCTTTGAGCAAGTTTAGGCCTTGTTTAGTTCCCATACAAAAATTTTACAACATGTCGTATTGAACATTTAAAGCCTAATTGCTCTATGATTTGACAATATGGTGCTACAGTAAACATTTGCTAATGACAGATTAATTAGGCTTAATAAATTCGTCTCGTTGTTTACTGACGGATTCTGTAATTAGTTTTTTTTATTAATGCCCAAGCACCCCTGCGACACCCTATATAATACCCGATGTGACATGCCAAAACTTTACACGCCTGTGTCTTAACACCCCCTTACTCGTACGGCTCTCATCTTTTTCTTATACTCATGTTTATAAGCCAATATATATTTTATTTTAATTTTAAATTTGAAGTTAATTTTAGGACTTTTTTATCATGGTACTTTTAGTATTTGTTTTTAATTGTTAAGAACACGTACATAAAAGTTTTATTCGTAAATTATTTTTCATTTGCAAATATGATGTTTTGCTTATTTCTAGAATAAGCCAAATGATAGGGTTGTCAGTTGCTACCTCTAAAATTAACACATCATCGATAGCTAAATTTATAATCTACACATATAATAGTTTCATATAAATATAAATATAGTATAATACATCATCAATAGCTCATCTCTTAGAGCACCCACAATGGTAAAGTAATGTGCTCTCTATAAAACATGTACATCTCAGCAATAGACTAGATTAATGGTAAATCACCTCAATAGTATGTTTACATGGGTATCTATAGCTCTCTAACACATATAATTTTTCTCTATAGACTATCTCCAGTTTAGTAGATAGCTTTGCTCTCTCTCTCCATTTAATATCTTTCAAATAAAAAAAATGCTGATATAGATTTCTTATAGAGAGCCTATAACCATTGTGGGTGCTCCTATACACTAGTTATCTTATAGCTCGTGTTGTAGTTGTAGCTTATTATAAATCTGTCGTCAGTTTTTTTTTCTCTCTTTTTCATCTGTGCTGATGTAGTACTTCCTTTAACATTTCACTCCAGAGTAGTGTACTTGCTCTATGCACAAAGCTACACACACGGACACACCAGACTAGGAGTACTCCTCGTGTACTGTGGCCGACCCCGACCGGGCCCCGCCTCCGCCTCCTCTGCGTTGCCGCGTGCATTTATCGCGGCCGTCGCGTGGCCTGGCCGCATATGCCGTGTTGCGACGCTGCCTGGCCCCGGCCGGCGAGAGGCCTCCATGCATGCTGCCCATGTTCCACATCCCCCCCTTGCTACTCCCTCTCCCTAGTGCACAGTGTGGCAATGGCATGCACAAATTCCGTTTGGATTTTCTTAATACAAACAGTTTAATTTTCGTGAAATGTACAGGGAAGAAATTAGCTAGCCAGGTGCGACAGATGACATGTTTGCCGGTCCAAGCTGAGAAGCAAAAAGGTCTTGGCTTTAGCTAGCTTCCCTTTGCTAAGCAAATTTGTCTCACATCCTCGATCTGTTTTCCAGCATTGATTTTGCACCTGTCAGGTTCTGAATAAGAATAACCACAAGGTGATCTCGGTCACCGCTTGCGGCTGGCTGACGTTCTTCACTGCTGATCCATCGATTCTCCACGTTTGTTTTGTTTTTTGGGGTTCTTTTTTTACTCCACTTTCACCTCTTCTCTAACGAACAGTTAGCCCTCCAGGTCGCCGTCAGTTTTTGGCTGAATTTTTCTTTTCCTGACGGTGATAGTATGGCTGTGTTTAGATCTAAAGTTTGGATCCAAATTTCGGTCCTTTTTTATCACATCAACCTGTCATACAAACATAACTTTTCAGTTACATCATCTCCAATTTCAACCAAAATCTAAACTTTGGATCCAACTAAATATAGCCTATACTTGTACACACGCTCGCACTGACAGTTCACAGTTCGATCAAAGTGTAAGAGCAGGTAACCAGCTATGAATATATTTTAAAGAAATAAAAGAGAAGAGAGAAGAGTAGTGGGCTGTAAGATTTGTAGCCATCTGTAGTACGGACTCAAAGACACAATATGTATATATGACAGATGGGTGCAGATATTAATAATATAGTAAGTAACTATTGTATAAATTAGCTATTAAATTGACTATATTTGGCTATACTATTAAATTTACTCTAAGCAAAGCAGTAATGCAGTATACTTTTACATGAGCTTTTCGGCTCGACGACGTCACGCTCTTCGGGTGCAATAAAAGAGACCTTTTAGCCTGTGCCGCCCTACCTCTCCTGTGAAACAAAAGAGGAAGCAGCCGAGCAGGAGACGAGACGCAACTCGCAAAGCTATATCTAGGCGACGCATGCAGGAGACATGAATAAAGTGGTAGCTACAGCAGCAGCAGCAGATGAGTAATTGCCCGTCTCCATCTTTTACTCTACCTCTACTACCTCGCCTTGGTACTTTAAGCGCCATGGATATCTTCACCTCATGCTCATGCATGCCCCCACAATCAATGCTCATGTACATATATACACGTTGGAGTACACTCCGGTATGTATCCATGTTCATCTTGTTCGTTGACATGTAAATTTCCTGAATGGTGGGGTCTACATGTCACCCATTATGGCTGTATTTATTTCAATATAAAATTTAGATTTTAGTTGAAATTAGAGATAATGTGACTGAAAAATTGTGTACGTATGACATGTTGATGTGATGAAAAATGGCTGAAGTTTGGATCCAAACTTTGAATCTAAAGACAGCATATGTCTACATAACTTTAGAACGGAAGAATCTACTGGCCGATATCTATCTATACTTCTGAAAACATGCGAGATGACTGATCGGTCGATGGGAAAACGAATACATGACTGACATATCCTACGTATCCTATTATAGTGGATGTTTAGATTCATTAGGATAACTTTGGTTTTTTATGAGTCGGACAAAGTACTAGTATATTACTCCCTCCGTTTTATAATAATAGATATCTATCTAAATTCATTAATATCAATATAAATAACTTAAATTGTGAAACTGAGGAAGTACGACTGAAGTAGCTATGAAGTAGGTGTAGGCGTAGATAGCACAAGGAGGAGCTAGCACATGTGCGGAGAGAGAAGGGAGAGCATGCGTGTCTAGAAGGTCAACCGAGTGGAGTAAAGAGAGTGACCCCAAAGTCAACACACACTGACTGTACACGGGACAGGGGTACAAGGCCAGCTGCTGTCCATGGACTGATGGAGTCGCTTGCATTGTTTCGCTTGGACTAGTATTGGGATTGCATGTCGTCTCCGGCTAGGCAAAAATGGTTGGCTCTCATTGGATGGTCTAATCAGAAAAAAAAACTAAATTTTAAATTTTCAAGCTTAATTTTAATATTAATTTTAAGATATTTTTAACGTAGTTTTTTTTAACATTATCTTTTAAGTCACCAAGAACACATTTATAAAAGTTTTACCTACAAATTCATTTTTATTTCCTAATAAACCGTTTTGGCTTAAAGGCATCCACGATATAATATAAAAGTAGTCCATAGATAATAAACTATTCCATTCAGCCACTTAGTAACATTGTGCAACTAGTCCATATAAAGAAAATAGCAAAAGATATCCATATGCATATGGACTACCCATATGATATAAATAATATTATCTATCTCTACTTCTCTCTCTTCTCCTAATGTTGCATTGTATCCATATACATTGTGAAGATTGATATAGTTAAAGTTTGTTTATATGGGTCCCATCTATATAGACCACTTTTGCCATATGCATTGGTGATGCCCTTAGAAAATAAGACAAACGATGGGGACCGTTTTCTCGATGAGTGCACTCCTACTACTCTCTGTATTTTAGTATATTATAAACCGTTTGATTTTTTATTAGTTAATTTTTTTAATTAAATTAAATTTATAGATAGATATAAATTATTTTTAATACAAAATAATATAAAAATATATTTAATATTAAATTTAATGATGTAGATATTACTATTTTTTTCTATAAATTTGATAAAAGTTCTAAAATCTTTTATTAAGAAACAAACGAATTATAATAGCACGTCGCGGACGAAATTTTTCAACGGATGTGTATACCTACCAGCAGCGTTGTCGTCTTCTGGATTGAAAGCTCCCGTTCATGATCCTTTTACGAGTTTCTTCCTAAGGAGTATATTAGTAATTCAAAGGTTTTTATTTCACAGCTTTCTAACTTTTTTTCAATTTTGTATTCTG